ACCAGAGGGAATCACCAGAAGGAATCACCAGAGGGAATCACCAGAAGGAATCACCAGAGGGAATCACCAGAGGAATCACCAGAAGGAATCACCAGTAGGAATCACCAGAAGGAATCACCAGAAGGAATCACCAGAGGGAATCACCAGAGGGAATCACCAGAGGGAATCACCAGAGGGAATCACCAGAGGGAATCACCAGAGGGAATCACCAGAAGGAATCACCAGAGGGAATCACCAGAAGGAATCACCAGAAGGAATCACCAGAAGGAATCACCAGAAGGAATCACCAGAAGGAATCACCAGAGGGAATCACCAGAGGGAATCACCAGAGGGAATCACCAGAGGGAATCACCAGAGGGAATCACCAGAAGGAATCACCAGAGGGAATCACCAGAGGGAATCACCAGAGGGAATCACCAGAGGGAATCACCAGAAGGAATCACCAGAGGGAATCACCAGAAGGAATCACCAGAGGGAATCACCAGAGGGAATCACCAGAAGGAATCACCAGAGGGAATCACCAGAAGGAATCACCAGAGGGAATCACCAGGAGGAATCACCAGAAGGAATCACCAGAGGGAATCACCAGAAGGAAATCACCAGAGGAATCACCAGAAGGAATCACCAGAGGGAATCACCAGAGGGAATCACCAGAAGGAATCACCAGAGGGAATCACCAGAGGGAATCACCAGAGGGAATCACCAGAAGGAATCACCAGAGGGAATCACCAGAAGGAATCACCAGAGGGAATCACCAGAGGGAATCACCAGAAGGAATCACCAGAGGGAATCACCAGAAGGAATCACCAGAGGGAATCACCAGAGGGAATCACCAGAGGGAATCACCAGAAGGAATCACCAGAGGGAATCACCAGAAGGAATCACCAGAGGGAATCACTAGAGGGAATCACCAGAAGGAATCACCAGAGGGAATCACCAGAGGGAATCACCAGAGGGAATCACCAGAAGGAATCACCAGAGGGAATCACCAGAAGGAATCACCAGAGGGAATCACCAGAGGGAATCACCAGAAGGAATCACCAGAAGGAATCACCAGAAGGAATCACCAGAGGAATCACCAGAAGGAATCACCAGAAGGAATCACCAGTATGAATCACCAGAAGGAATCACCAGAAGGAATCACCAGAGGGAATCACCAGAGGGAATCACCAGAAGGAATCACCAGAGGGAATCACCAGAAGGAATCACCAGAGGGAATCACCAGAAGGAATCACCAGAGGGAATCACCAGAGGGAATCACCAGAAGGAATCACCAGTAGGAATCACCAGAAGGAATCACCAGAGGGAATCACCAGAGGGAATCACCAGAAGGAATCACCAGACGGAATCACCAGAGGGAATCACCAGAGGGAATCACCAGAGGGAATCACCAGAGGGAATCACCAGAGGGAATCACCAGAAGGAATCACCAGAGGGAATCATCAGAAGGAATCACCAGAGGGAATCACCAGAGGGAATCACCAGAAGGAATCACCAGAGGGAATCACCAGAAGGAATCACCAGAGGGAATCACCAGAGGGAATCACCAGAGGGAATCACCAGAGGGAATCACCAGAAGGAATCACCAGAGGGAATCACCAGAAGGAATCACCAGAGGGATTAACCAAAACGCAACTTCGTGTCACTGGGGTTCTTGGGGGAGGCTGGGGTGCTTGGGGGAGGCTGGGGTTCTTGGGGGAGGCTGGGGTTCTTAGGGGAGGCTGGGGTTCTTGGGGGAGGCTGGGGTTCTTGGGGAGGCTGGGGTGCTTGGGGGAGGCTGGGGTTCTTGGGGGAGGCTGGGGTTCTTGGGGGAGGCTGGGGTGCTTGGGGGAGGCTGGGGTGCTTGGGGAGGCTGGGGTTCTTGGGGGAGGCTGGGGTGCTTGGGGGAGGCTGGGGTTCTTGGGGAGGCTGGGGTTCTTGGGGAGGCTGGGGTGCTTGGGGGAGGCTGGGTGCTTGGGGAGGCTGGGGTGCTGGGGGAGGCTGGGGTGCTTGGTTAGGTTGGGGAGCTTGGGGAGGCTGGGGTGCTTGGGGGAGGCTGGGGTGCTAGAGGAGGCTGGGGTGCTTGGGGGAGGCTGGGGCTCTTGGGGGAGGCTGGGGTGCTTGGGGGAGGCTGGAGTGCTTGGGGAGGCTGGGGTTCTTGGGGAGGCTGGGGTGCTTGGGGGAGGCTGGGGTGCTTGGGGAGGCTGGGGTTCTGGGGAGGCTGGGGTTCTTGGGGGAGGCTGGGTTCTTGGGGGAGGCTGGGTGCTTGGGGGAGGCTGGGGTGCTAGAGGAGGCTGGGGTGCTTGGGGGAGGCTGGGGTGATTGGGGGAGGCTGGGGTGCTTGGGGAGGCTGGGGTGCTAGAGGAGGCTGGGGTGCTTGGGGGAGGCTGGGTTATTGGGGAGGCTGGGGTGCTTGGGGAGGCTGGGTGCTTGGGGGAGGCTGGGGTTCTTGGGGGAGGCTGGGGTGCTTGGGGAGGCTGGGGTGCTTGGGGGAGGCTGGGGTGCTAGAGGAGGCTGGGTGCTTGGGGGAGGCTGGGGTGATTGGGGGAGGCTGGGGTGCTTGGGGGAGGCTGGGGTGCTAGAGGAGGCTGGGGTGCTTGGGGGAGGCTGGGGTTATTGGGGAGGCTGGGGTGCTTGGGGGAGGCTGGGGTGCTTGGGGGAGGCTGGGGTTCTTGGGGGAGGCTGGGGTGCTTGGGGGAGGCTGGGGTGCTTGGGGGAGGCTGGGGTGCTTGGGGGAGGCTGGGGTTCTTGGGGGAGGCTGGGGTGCTTGGGGAGGCTGGGGTGCTTGGGGAAGGCTGGGTTCTTGGGGGAGGCTGGGGTGCTTGGGGGAGGCTGGGGTTCTTGGGGGAGGCTGGGGTGCTTGGGGAGGCTGGGGTGCTGGGGAGGCTGGGGTGCTGGGGGGGGTGCTTGGGGTGCTGGGGTGGGGGGGCTGGGGTGCTTGGGGAGCTGGGGTGCTTGGGGGGGTTGGGGTGTGATGTGTGATGACGTCAGTAATATATATGCAACTGAAGTCGAGACATTGTTCTCCTCGGACCTTGTCTTGCTCAAGCGACACACACACACACACACTCACACACACACACACACACACACACACACACACACACACACACACACACACACACACACACACACACACACACACACACACACACACACACAACCTCTCAACCGTCAATCAACAGGTGTACAGATTCATGAGCCTATCGGTCTCCTGCAGCACATATCAAGCGGATAACATCAGCGGCATATGCCAGGCTGGCCAACATACGAACGGCATTCAGAAACTTGTGTAAAGAATCATTTAGAACTTTGTATACCACATATGTCAGGCCAATCCTGGAGTATGCAGCCCCAGCATGGAGTCCATATCTAGTCAAGGATAAGACTAAACTGGAAAAGGTTCAAAGGTTTGCCACCAGACTAGTACCCGAGCTGAGAGGTATGAGCTACGAGGAGAGACTACGGGAATTAAACCTCACTTCGCTGGAAGACAGAAGAGTTAGGGGGACATGATCACCACATTCAAGATTCTGAAGGGATTGATAGGGTAGATAAAGACAGTCTATTTAACACAAGGGAACACGCACAAGGGACACAGGTGGAAACTGAGTGCCCAAATGAGCCACAGAGATATTAGAAAGAACTTTTTTAGTGTCAGAGTGGTTGACAAATGGAATGCATTAGGAAGTGATGTGGTGGAGGCTGACTCCATACACAGTTTCAAGTGTAGATATGACAGAGCCCGATAGGCTCATGAATCTGTACACCTGTTGATTGACGGTTGAGAGGCGGGACCAAAGAGCCAGAGCTCAACCCCCGCAAACACAACTAGGTGAGTACAACTAGGTGAGTACACACACACACACACACACAACCATCCCTCCCTCCCCCGTCCCCTCGTCCTCCCCACCATCCCTCCCTCCCCCGTCCCCTCGTCCTCCCCACCATCCCTCCCTCCCCCGTCCCCTCGTCCTCCCCACCATCCCTCCCTCCCCCGTCCCCTCGTCCTCCCCACCATCCCCCCCTTCCCCGTCCCCTCGTCCTCCCCACCATCCCCCCCTCCCCCGTCCCCTCGTCCTCCCCACCATCCCCCCCCTCCCCCGTCCCCTCGTCCTCCCCACCATCCCTCCCTCCCCCGTCCCCTCGTCCTCCCCACCATCCCTCCCTCCCCCGTCCCCTCGTCCTCCCCACCATCCCCCCCTTCCCCGTCCCCTCGTCCTCCCCACCATCCCCCCCTCCCCCGTCCCCTCGTCCTCCCCACCATCCCCCCCCTCCCCCGTCCCCTCGTCCTCCCCACCATCCCTCCCTCCCTCGTCCCCTCGTCCTCCCCACCATCCCCCCCCTCCCCCGTCCCCTCGTCCTCCCCAAGATCCCCCACTCCCCCATCCCCTCGTCCTCCCCACCATCCCTCCCTCCCCCGTCCCCTCGTCCTTCCCACCATCCCCCCCTCCCCCCCCGTCCCCTCGTCCTCCCCACCATCCCCCACTCCCCCGTCCCCTCGTCCTCCCCACCATCCCTCCCTCCCCCGTCCCCTCGTCCTCCCCACCATCCCCCCCCCTCCCCCGTCCCCTCGTCCTCCCCACCATCCCCCACTCCCCCGTCCCCTCGTCCTCCCCACCATCCCTCCCTCCCCCGTCCCCTCGTCCTCCCCACCATCCCTCCCTCCCCCGTCCCCTCGTCCACCCCACCATCCCCCACTCCCCCGTCCCCTCGTCCTCCCCTCCATCCCTCCCTCCCCCGTCCCCTCGTCCTCCCCACCATCCCTCCCTCCCCCATCCCCTCGTCCTCCCCACCATCCCCCCACTCCCCCGTCCCCTCGTCCTCCCCACCATCCCTCCCTCCCCCGTCCCCTCGTCCTCCCCACTATCCCTCCCTCCCCCGTCCCCTCGTCCTCCCCACCATCCCCCACTCCCCCGTCCCCTCGTCCTCCCCACCATCCCTCCCTCCCCTGTCCCTCGTCCTCCCCACCATCCCCCCCCCCACTCCCCCGTCCCCTCGTCCTCCCCACCATCCCTCCCCCTCCCCCGTCCCCTCGTCCTCCCCACCATCCCTCCCTCCCCCGTCCCCTTGTCCTCCCCACCATCCCCCCCTCCCCCGTCCCCTCGTCCTCCCCACCATCCCTCCCTCCCCCGTCCCCTCGTCCTCCCCACCATCCCTCCCTCCCCCGTCCCCTCGTCCTCCCCACCATCCCTCCCTCCCCCGTCCCCTCGTCCTCCCCACCATCCCCCCCCTCCCCCGTCCCCTCGTCCTCCCCACCATCCCTCCCTCCCCCGTCCCCTTGTCCTCCCCACCATCCCCCACTCCCTCGTCCCCTCGTCCTCCCCACCATCCCCCCCTCCCCCGTCCCCTCGTCCTCCCCACCATCCCCCACTCCCCCGTCCCCTCGTCCTCCCCACCATCCCCCCCCTCCCCCGTCCCCTCGTCCTCCCCACCATCCCCCACTCCCCCGTCCCCCGTCCTCCCCACCATCCCCCACTCCCTCGTCCCCTTGTCCTCCCCACCAATCCCCAATTCCCCGTTCCCTCGTCCTTCCCACCATCCCCCACTCCCCCGTCCCCTCGTTCTCCCCACCATCCCTCCCTCCCCCGTCCCCCTCGTCCTCCCCACCATCCCTCCCTCCCCCGTCCCCTTGTCCTCCCCACCATCCCTCCCTCCCCCGTCCCCTCGTCCTCCCCACCATCCCCCCTCCCCCGTCCCCTCGTCCTCCCCACCATCCCTCCCTCCCCCGTCCCCTTGTCCTCCCCACCATCCCCCACTCCCTCGTCCCCTCGTCCTCCCCACCATCCCCCCTCCCCCGTCCCCTCGTCCTCCCCACCATCCCCCACTCCCCCGTCCCCCTCGTCCTCCCCACCATCCCCCACTCCCCCGTCCCCTCGTCCTCCCCACCATCCCCCACTCCCCCGTCCCCTCGTCCTCCCCACCATCCCCCACTCCCCCGTCCCCTCGTCTTCCCCCTCCATCCCCCACTCCCCGTCCCCTCGTCCTCCCCACCATCCCCCCCTCCCCCGTCCCCTCGTCCTCCCCACCATCCCCCCTCCCCCCGTCCCCTCGTCCTCCCCACCATCCCCCACTCCCCCGTCCCCTCGTCCTCCCCACCATCCCCCACTCCCCCGTCCCCTCGTCCTCCCCACCATCCCCCACTCCCCCGTCCCCTCGTCCTCCCCACCATCCCCCACTCCCCCGTCCCCTCGTCCTCCCCACCATCCCCCACTCCCTCGTCCCCTCGTCCTCCCCACCATCCCCCACTCCCCCGTCCCCTCGTCCTCCCCACCATCCCCCACTCCCCCGTCCCCTCGTCCTCCCCACCATCCCCCACTCCCCCGTCCCCTCGTCCTCCCCACCATCCCCCACTCCCCCGTCCCCTCGTCCTCCCCACCATCCCCCACTCCCTCGTCCCCTCGTCCTCCCCACCATCCCCCCCTCCCCCGTCCCCTCGTCCTCCCCACCATCCCCCACTCCCCCGTCCCCTCGTCCTCCCCACCATCCCCCACTCCCTCGTCCCCTCGTCCTCCCCACCATCCCCCCCTCCCCGTCCCCTCGTCCTCCCCACCATCCCCCCTCCCTCGTCCCCTCGTCCTCCCCACCATCCCCCCCTCCCCCGTCCCCTCGTCCTCCCCACCATCCCCCACTCCCTCGTCCCCTCGTCCTCCCCACCATCCCCCCCTCCCCCGTCCCCTCGTCCTCCCCACCATCCCCCACTCCCTCGTCCCCTTGTCCTCCCCACCATCCCCCACTCCCCCGTCCCCTCGTCCTCCCCACCATCCCCCACTCCCTCGTCCCCTCGTCCTCCCCACCACTCCCACTCCCTCGTCCCCTCGTCCTCCCCACCATCCCCCCCTCCCCCGTCCCCTCGTCCTCCCCACCATCCCCCCCTCCCTCGTCCCCTCGTCCTCCCCACCATCCCCCCCCCGTCCCCTCGTCCTCCCCACCACTTCCACTCCTCCCCCCCAACAGGTAACACTGAAAAGCATCACTGAAAGTACTCAGAGTATGGGTAACGATGTGTATCAGTGCTATACCGACGGCTCTGTAGAAGAAGGTGGACGATGTACCGGATGTGCATGTAACATATTTGAACAATCTTCTCTCGTACATACAGCAATGAAGCGCGTCAATGACTGGGCAAGTACAACTCAAACCGAACTTGTAGGCATATACCTTGCCACTGAATTTTTAAAAGACAAAGGCAGTGGACTTATATACTGTGACTCGCAGAGTGCACTCCTGGCACTGAACGCACATAGTAGTGACACCCAGAAAATAGTCAGTGATATTCGAATGAATGTTTTAGCTGCTAAAGAAAACAGATTTGAAATTAATTTCCTATGGATACCATCACATGTTGGCATCTCAAGGCATGACACTGTTGATATGTTTGCTAAGTCAGCCTGCAGAAAACCAGTGGTAGAAAATGATATGGGTGTTTCATTAGCAGTGACAAAGAGAATACTTAAACAAATATCTAATGAAGATCTCACCGACCTAACAAATTCACAAAGACCTGAAAGTTGTAGTATTAAATATTATGATAGATATCGTGAGGAGACATTCACATATGGGACTAATAGAACAAGAACCCGGCAATGTGATGTTATAGTGGCCAGAATACGCCTGGGATATAGACGTATCTGGCAGCTTTCTCAAAACCCAAATGTCAAGTACACAATGTGTCAACTTTGTGAAAGAGAAAACATGCACTCTCTTGAACATTATATTTTAGAATGTCCCATACTGACTGACTTTCGCCCTCCTGGGCTAAGGTATGCTGAACTCTGTAATTACTATATGAGTACTGGAACACTTGATGATATATTGGACTTGTACCCAAGATTGACCATGTAATGTATCAATTATACAATGCATGTGATGTAACTATATAACCTGAGCTTGTAAGAGCACCTTAATCACCTTAAGTAATTAAGTGCTTAATTGGACAATAGTTTCTCTATCAGCTATCTCACCCTGTCAGAGTAAAAAGAGACAAATGTATGTGAATGCATGCGTTTGTGTTTATATGTATGTATATATGTATATGTACGTATATGTGTGTGTATGTATATGTATGCGTATTAAGTATATATGGAAGCTGATCAGAATTACATTTCACCTTTGTAAATGCACATTAATGACACTATGTAAAAGACACATCGAACACTTTATGTAGGGCATACGTAAATCTGTGTATCTATGTATTTACGTATGTAGGTTAGCTTAGCATTTTAAAAGCACCGAATCACCTTCTGTGGTTGAGTGTTCAATAAACCCTTGAACTATATGTTTAACACTTCTCTAACCCTGTCCATGGAGGACAGAAGAAAATGTATATATGCTGGTTAGCATTGTAAATGTGTGGCCACGTCTGTGGTAGAAAATAATAATAATAAAAAAAACTCCCACTCGTCCTCCCCACCTTTACCCCCTCCCCCGTCCCCTCATCCTCCCCACCATCCCCCACACCCATCCCCTCATCCTCCCCACCATCCCCCACACCCATCCCCTCGGCCTCCCCACCATCCCCCACTCCCTCGTCCGATGCGTTACCAAATGATCTGATGTTCCCATCACTGAAAAATAAGAACATTTAAAAACGAAGTGAAAAACAATGAAAACAAAAAAAAATTAACTGGTCTTACGAAATGAACGGTATGGTAAACAACACAGCTCAATTCCAACGCAATGTCACACAGAATAATTAAATCATAATGAAAATAAATCAAAATCTATGGAAACTCAATTTATCAATGCAATCGGAATCATTGAAATGGAATCGTAACATATTTAGTATAGCGTGTGTTGCTTTTATGTGCAACAGATGGCACTGTTTCCCCCCCCCCCCAAAAAAAAAAAAAAACTTGTTTTTACCTGTCACAGGTATGGCATGTATATAGTAGGCATATAAAAACACGCGCATATTCGAATGCAAGGTTGTATCAAAATTTCAAAGCATTTAGTGAAGAACTTTCAGAGATTAGCGATTTTGAACAAACGAACATTTTTATTTATATATAGATATATTTTGTGTGTGGTTAAGCCTATGATAGGTTAGGTGTTAGTGGTGGCAGTTTCCGTCTCGTGGGTGAAGCATTCACTGTTGCAAGTCGTAAACGTTAATATTACGCCTCGATTCAATTTTGACTAATGCGTTGCATTTTTAACGGATTGAACGATTCCGTCAAAATTGCGACGTATTAAGTGAGAGAACGAGTTTCCTAATCAGTTAATTGTGGCGGCCGGATTAGCGAGCGTTTGGCCTACGTTTATGAAGACGGCAACAGTGTGTTGGGAATAGTGCCGGGTCATGTATAGCTGACGTGTGATTGGTGCTTGTGGCTTGTGGCTTGGTGATTGTGGCTTGGTGATTAGTGATTGTGGCTTAGTGCTTGGTGATTGTGGCTTGGTGCTTGGTGCTTGTGGCTTGGTGCTTGGTGCTTGGTGCTTGTGACTTGGTGCTTGTGGCTTGGTTCTTGTGGCTCGGTGCTTGTGACTTGGTGCTTGTGGCTTGGTTCTTGTGGCTCGGTGCTTGGTGCTTGTGGCTTGGTTCTTGTGGCTCGGTGCTTGTGACTTGGTGCTTGTGGCTTGGTTCTTGTGGCTCGGTGCTTGTGACTTGGTGCTTGTGGCTTGGTTCTTGTGGCTCGGTGCTTGTGACTTGGTGCTTGTGGCTTGGTTCTTGTGGCTTGGCTTGGTGCTTGTGGCTTGGTTCTTGTGTCTCGGTGCTTGTGACTTGGTGCTTGTGGCTTGGTTCTTGTGGCTTGGTGCTTGTGACTTGGTGCTTGTGACTTGGTGCTTGTGACTTGGTGCTTGTGACTTGGTGCTTGTGGCTTGGTTATTGTGGCTTGAAGCGTGTGACTTGTGGTATTATGAATGGTGTTGGGTGAGCCTCATGCCTATACAGGAAGACTGTGGTGCTGCGCGTGGCTCAGGCTTTTAGTTAGATTACATTCCACTGTGTACACTCACCTATTTGTGCCTGCAGACTTGAGCGTTGGCTCTTGGATGCCGCCATTCTGTCCTCCGGTTGTTTAAAGCAATGACTCCTGTCATTCTCTATCATTCACAGTTTTATAACTGCTTCCATAATGTGTTCATTTAGTGCATTCCATTTTCCACTACTCTCACGCTAAAAGATAACTTTCTAACATCTCTTTGACTCAGATGAGTTTCCAGCTTCCACCCATGTCCTCTCGTTCTCTTGGTACTCTGTGTGAACATTTCGTTTATTTCCCCCACTGTCAATCCCCCGTGAATATTTTCTATGCTGCTATCATATCCCCCTCTCTCCCTTCTTTTTTCTAACGTCATCAGGTTCAGTTCCTTCAGTAGCTCTTCATACCCCATCCCTCGTAACTCTGGGACGAGCCTCGTCGCAAACTTCAGAACCTTTTGCAGTCTCCTTCTAAGTTTCTTCAAGTGGTTTCTTCATGATGCGGGCGGCATACTCTAAGACTGGTCTCAAGTTGGCAGTGTAAAGCGCCCTAAAAGCTTCCTTACTAAGTTTTTTGAATGACATTCAAACTTTTGCCAGTGTAGAGTACGCTGCTGTCGTTATCCTATTTATATGTGCTTCAGGATTTAGATTTGGTGTTACGTTTACTCCCAGGACTCTTTCTCGAATAGTTTCAGATTGTTGTGTTGTGTTGAACTCCAGTAGCCATTTCTCTGACCATCTCAGCAGCTTGTTCAGCTAAGTAATTATCAAAAGGCGGCACCAAGCCGGGAAGGCTATGGTGCGCCCATCAAATGTGCGGAATAATTAGAGGGCGCGAAATATCACTAAGAATGCCAATATGAGAACAGAAACGCATAAGGCGAACGATATCAAAAGTATCCGATTCACCAAGAATTCTATCGAGGGTCAAGTGACCGCGAGGGACGGTCGGAAAGCAAGACATACGCTCGTCCTGGAAGTCAGGACATTCAACAAGGATATGCACGACTGTAAGAGGGACAATGTAGTTTGGGCAATAAGGAGCAGGGCGGCGCTCCATTAAGTGTCCGTGAGTTAAGCATGTATGGCCAATACGTAACCTTGCCAGAGCAGTTTCCCAACGCCGGATACGGTAGTAGGAGGAAGGCCACGAGGACACACTACTCTTAAGAGCACGCAGTTTGCTACCAGCAACAGATAACCAACAAGCCTGCCAACAGGCAAGGATGGTGGAATGAATAACCGGGTAAAAGTCGGAATAAGGAACACCTTTACGGGAGATGGCACAAGTGCGGACAGCTTCCCTGGCGGCAGCGTTCGCACGCACATTTAAAGAGACACCAATAGGGCTGGGAATCTAGCAAAAGTCAACTGTCTTAAATCTACTAAAAATAAGAAACAGTCATGTTGAATCTTGACCACCGGATGGACAGGATTAAAGGACTCCTGAGCCATGAGGGCACTGCGAGAGTCAACTACAACCACAGAGGAGGATTGACAACGAGAAAGCAGGACACGAAGAACATAGAGAATAGCATAAAATTCTGCCGTAAAGACGCTAGTCTCCGGAGGCACAGAGTAACCTACACCGTCTGCTGACTTAGACCCATCGGTGAAGATGAAAACGGAGCGGGAGTGTGAAGAAAAGTGTTCAAGGAAAAGACGTTTCAGAACTGCAGGAGGGG